TCACTATGCTTTCATTATGTTCAATTTGTGACAATGAAAATACATCCTACATATCAGATGTTTACATTATGATTCATAACAGCAGCAAAATTACAGTTATGAAGTAGCAACGAAAATAATTTTATGGTTGGGTGTTGCCACAACATGAGGAACTGTATGAAAGGGTCGCGGCATTAGGAAGGTTGAGAACCACTGTCCTAGAGAAAGCTCTACTTATAACCAACTGTGCATTTGGGGCAAAACCAAAACCCATGGTCAGGGAGTTGATTCTGACGCAGAGCAACACTACATGTGTGGCAGAGTAAAACAGAACTGCTCCTTAGGGTTTCTGTGACTGTAAATCTTTATGAGAGTTGACAGTCTCATCTGTTTCCAGTGGAGTATTTGGTAGGTTTGAACCTGCAACCTTGCAATTATCAGCCTAGTGCTTAACTTACTCTGCCACCAGAAACAAAGTAGGAGGGATGGATTGAAAATTTATGACTGCCAAGGCAGAGATTACCATGTATTTCATCCCACCTCCCATCGTTTACCCTGTGCAGATCTGAGAAGAATTGCTTCATATTTGGTAATCTTTGGGGGCTGGAAGGGCTAGTCAGAGTTTAGTGTCAATCAAAAATAAAGACCACTGAGTAACACGCTTTATGGTCATCTGAAGGCAGAACAGACTGTAGCTGAAAGGGTCACGTAAGTGGCTCAAAGAAACTTCAAGCCTGGACTACTATACCTTCAAGTGCCTATAAGAAAGAAATGAAAATTATTTCCAGAAATAATTTTTCAAATAAAATGTCTACCAAATTATCAAAGTTTATGGGGCATATAAAAAGACAAGCAAAACAAACCCAAAGCGATTATCAGACAGGCTATTGTTAGTAAAATCACAAAACAAATGTTAAGCTTACTATGATTATGAAGATAGGATAAAAATTACATCCTTATAGAACCGGAAGAATATGAAAGACCAAAAAAAATCTTAAAACTAGCCAGAAAAAGAAGACAATTTTACCCTCAAAGAAGCAACAATGAAAATGACTGACATCACAGACAACCGAAAAGTGGATGAAGGGAGAAGTCGGACAGGGCAAGATATGACAAAATACCCATTTATAAACTATCAAGGGCTCATGCGGGAGGGG